GGCGTCAAACCCCGCTTTCAGTCTCGAACCTTTCTTCGGGTTTTCAGGGGTACTCGTATCAAGCAATTGGGTTGGGGTGATCTAGGCTTCGCCATCAATCTGCCAAACAACGCAACATGCACGTTCTTCGGCCACCACCTATCCTCGGACATCGCCCGATCCTCTTCCGCCGCTGAGCTCGGACGCCGTCTCTAGTAAAGCGATGCAGTCTGAATTCGCATATAACACTGGCATATACACCAAGCTAGTACATTTCATCGAACCTGCATAGACCGCAAGGAGAACGACGATATAGTAGACGCGTCTCATTTTTGCCTCCGAAAGCACAGAGAATATGAGACCAATACCGCCCGCCCATAGCGGAACAACGGGTTGTGCTGCGCCTAGTGACGACCCCCGCGTCCGCCACCTCCGGGGCCCCAACGCGAACCCCGCCCTCCGCCACGCTGGCCACCAGAAGGATACCAGTCGTCCCCTCCTTCCCCTCCGCCTCCTCCCCCGCGACCGCGACCACGCCCAGAGCCACCACCACGGAATGGCGGATCATTCGGGAACATCTCTTCCTGGCTGGGGAGTGGTCCCATCTGACGGGGAGCAACGGCCGCACCGGCCGCTGCGCCTCCGAAGCCAGGGATCCCGTCCTCATCGGCGTCTGGTTGCTGTTGTTGATCCCAGTTTTCGTCGCCGCCCATACCGAGGCCTGGTAGTATAGACATGTCCTCATCGTAGTCCTCCTGATCGCCCTCTGCAGTAGGTATGGAGTCACCGGCATCGCCCTCGCCAGGACGCTCGCGCGACCAGAAGCGCGTCGCATGGTCGTTTGACCCGGTAACGAGCAGATGCCCGAGCGGATGAAAAGCAAGTGACCACACATTCGAATCGTGGGCGTCCTCGTTGACAGCTCGCGGACCATATTGTGGTGTCTGTTGCGCGCTCGCAGTCGGCCCAAGGCGCGTACCCGCATGCGGCGGCGCGTGCGATGGAACAGGCGCAGGAACCGAGATATCCCAATGAATGACCGCGCCCTCGGACCCTCCGGAGACCAAGACGGGATGTACGGGATGCCAGGCGATAGCTACATTACGTTCAGCGCCCGCTCAGAGGTAAGAATGGACAGCACGCTTACAGCAAACCTCTTTCTTGTGCCCTCGGAGCACACAAAGCTCCTTCATTGCTCGAATGTCGAATACGCGGATGGTCTGATCTCGAGAGGCGCTCGCCACCATATTCCCGCTCGGGGACCATGACACTGCTTGTACGGTATTTTTGTGCGTACGCCTGAAACGCGAAGTTGGTCGGTGTGCCAGTCAGGGTTGTGACATATATATAATAGGCTTACAATGACGTTAACGCCGTGGCGGTCCGAGGATCCCAAAACTTGATAGTATTGTCCTTGCTGCCGGATACGAGAAGACCCTTGTAAGGGTGCCACTCGACACATCGGACGTCCCATCCGTGTCCTATCGTAACTTCAGCACAGTAATGCCCAACATCACAAGAATAAGCTTACCTGTGAGAACCCGCTCCCTCTCCTGCGTCTCGAATGACCAGAGCGCTATCGAAGAGTCGTCACTGGCCGTCACGAAACGCGAGTCGTCCGGGCTGAACGAGAGTCCGCGGATGGCCTCACGATGCCCTTGCCAGGCAGTCAGGTTGTTCATATTGGGCTGGAAGTACTTGATGATCCCGGACTGGTCGGCGCTGGCGATATACAAGCCACTATGTGAGAAGCGCATTGCGCGAATGGCGTTGTCGTGCGCCTGCAAGATTGTCTCGAAGTTGAACGTCAGGCCGTTCCATAATGTGAACTCGCCGCTTGTTGAGCCAGTCAAGACCCGACGACCCTCAGGCGTCCACTAGATAAACATCAATTCACCTTCGGAAGGTAATAATAGCCTTGGCTTGAACGTACAGTTACTACGTTCACTGGACAACGTATCTTGTTTGTTGACGTGTGGACAAACTTAGTGCACAAAGAAGTAGATGGATTGCCGGGATACGCTTTCGGCGCATAAAGCTAATACACGACACTTTATACACTATTCTTCCCGGCAAAGACTCCCAACGTACGTTGATAATATCCGGCGGACTGGGTCGCATGTATGGCAGGGTTCGTAGGCTCGTATGCTGTCTCCTTAACTAGTCCATACTATCAGTATATCGATTAAGATCTGTGAAGACCATGACACAGACCAGATTCCAGCGGCCCATCTCGCCAGCGTAATCCACTGTTCTTCTAGGGCGCAATTTCTTGAGAGCCTTCGGGTCCACTTGTCCACGGGCAACGGCTGCCTCCATATCCATCCTGTTTTCATCCGGAGGTGGCGGAGTGGGATGTTGCAAGTATTTCTTCGGCTTCCATTCAGACGGGCCAGCCTCAGACTCCGTTTTCAGTATGCCCGGCGGTAACAAGACGGGTAGTGTCGTGGTCGACATGATGGCGGCAAATGAAGCAACCCAAGTCCACAGGTAAAGATACACGTGTCACCCAGTCGTATGTTTGAGATAATGAGGTAAGGACCTGAGCGAGCCCGAAATGGTGGTGGAAGTGCGAGATCAAGAAGCGTGTGCTTGACAGCTTTGATGCGCTCGACGCGTCGCGTCCGGTCGCGTCGCGCGCGTCTCGGGGGTTATCGGCGTTGCCTGTCACTGTCACCTCCACAGTCATGGCCGGAAAGTATATATTCTCAAACTCGTCCAATTCGGATATGTGTCAAGTCCCGCGAGCGCTGCTGTCTTGCTGACAGTCCTCACAAGTTCCCTGCACTTGACTACCTCTTCCTTACTCCCGCACGTACAGTCCAAACAATGGCTATCATTGAGCTTTGCTGCCAGCCGGCGGTCACAGGCGTGGTACGTTGTCCCTTGTCAATGCTCAAGACTACCATGTATCTCATACTTGGACTGCGAAGCTATCACAGTCTCCTCTGTACTCCCTGCCGTACGAGTTGGTTGAGCGCATACTTCACCTCGTCGCCACTCCTTCACAGCTCAATGAAGGATGTCTGTATCCTGAAGCACCCTGGATAGAAGCAACCCAGACGTGTCGACATTTCCGGCATATAGCGCTAAACAGTGCGCTTTTGTGGACCAATGTCCTGTCCGAGATGGGCCCAGACTGGGTAGACGCGTTCTTGAAACGAAGCCAGAGCAATGCTCCCCTCATCTACGTCGATTCCTTCGCCATGATGGACATCAACACGGAAAACTATCTCGCGTTATCGCGTCAAATGCACAGAGTTCGCGAGCTGCACCTTGCGTGTGTTTACGTGGTCAACGAGGGTGCCTTGGACGCGGTTCTCTCCGCTCCGGCGCCGCTCCTCGAGAAGTGCTCGATCAGCGTTTCATCGGCGTCTTTACCACTACGCGACGTCGACCTATTCAACGGAAGCGCCCCCCATCTACGACATCTCAGTCTGTCATTCGAAGCCGGCTTCCCATGGCGTTCCCCAGTGCTCGACAATCTTGTGAGGTTCGAGGTTACCTCCGGACCTCTCATATCACTCTCCAATACGACCACCGCGGACGTCCTAAGTACACTCGGACGTATGCGCAGGTTGGAGCACTTGTCACTTGCCGTCAGCTTGGCCGCCGCTGAATGGGAGGGGTCGCCAGTGTCCCTGGATCACCTCCAATTCATGCATCTCGCATCCTCTTTTGACGCCCTTGGACATGTCTTTGTGAACATGTCGTTTCCGGCTTCGGCTAAGCTTTCCTTCTCCGGCTATGGACGTACACCGCCCTTGGGCTCGCCCTTCCTCGCGCATCTGAGCGAACACTACGCCAACAATAAAGTCGCCTTCGCTACCGCGGACGTCTCTCAGGAGTCACGCTGCGGCACTTGTTCCCTCGCCTTCACCACTTCCGTCTCTCCAAATTCACCAGCGGGTGAACGCCCAGATCTATCACTGGTTGTGAAATGGGGCACGCTAGAGGCAATGAATGACGTTACGGAGGCCATCTACTACTCGCTACCCTTCGACACTGTCCACTCGCTCACCCTCGACGGGTTCTGGGGCCCTCGCTGGCTGCACTCGATCTTCCGGCGCTCAAGGGCCGTGAAATACCTGCGCATATACGCTCCAAGCGTACCATCATGCCTCGCCGCACTTGCGCGCTGCGACGAAGAAGACAACGCAACGCTCTTCCCGGCGCTTGAGACGCTGAGCTTCCCGAACTGTACATGGACGGAATGGAGCGCAATCCCGTTCAGCGAGTCGCGACAGGCGTACGAGCTTCTCGCGCTTGCTGCACGTAAGCGCCGTGAGACAGGAAAACCTCTGCGCGATATCCTTGTCGGGGAGGTGGGCAGTAGGGCGCGTAGAGGCGGTTGTCCGACTTGGGCGTATGATTTGGCAAAACAGCGATTCCCGCAAGAGTTGGCTGATTTGGTCAAGCCCGACGAGCCATAGTCACGCCGTACACCAGGATGACCGCACTAAAAACCCCTAGACCTTAGATGCTTTAGAACTTTGCTCTTCATACGCCACATAGACCTCTTCATAGATACCTGCCACTGGATACTCTATAGACGTCTCTCCATACCACTTCAACTCCTCATTTCTCAGTACCTTGGACACAGTGGCCGTCACACGCAGGATGCAGCTTACCTCTCAATATGTTCAGAGTTCATCAAACGGAGTTGTACTCCGCTAGATCCTCGTCAATTTCAGGCTGTCAACTCTATTGAAGTCAACGCGTTTTGATCGCCGGTTCGACGCGTCGACGCGCAACGCGCGGCTCCGGATTGGCCATACATATAGACCGTTTACCGCGACACCCACGACCACAACCACCAACTGCCATTTGGGTAGCTCCGTACACGAGGCTGACAGCATTAAGGACTTCGGAATGTTCGGGTCGTGTTGCGAGCATCGTGGGCCTAATTCAGCCCATCCTGCCGTTGAGGTCACTACGAATGTTGACCCGACAGGCGACGCGCCACAGCGCAATTGGAGGACCATTATCACCCCGTACTTGACCAATGTCGCACAGCTATCTGCGCCTTTTCTGTCGACCTTCGTCTTGATACACCTTTCCGCTCCTATCATGGCGAACGTCGGTGGATCCTCGCTTGCCAGCCAAGTCATGGTCAGTCCGTTGTCTGTGAGTTGAGATGAGGCTGTTTACTAATGACGTCTTCAGCTTTTGGGCAGGGAGTATTACCAGACTCCATTCGGGGAGAAGTACCTGGTCATACTGCCATTCTTTGCCCATATAACCGCAGTAACTCTCAAGCGCATTATCAGTCCGCGCAAACCACGACCCTGGACCCACACATTGACAGTGTATGCGCTTCGTTTTCACTTCCGATGACACGAGAAGCTCATGAAGAACAGCACCGGTTTCTTTGCAGCAAACTTCTTGGTGCCAAAGCACTACCTGATCCACCGTGTCTTTCCTCAGGACCCAACCCCGCCCATCGAGGCTTTCGGGCCTTCTCAGATGGACTTCGAGTTCGTGAAGACAGGTCTTGCGCAATGGCCGATCCGCAATTGGATTGTCTACAGCGCGTTGGCTGCCACGATAGTCGTGCACATGACGGAAGGCATGCCCATCTTGCTCAGAAGAGCCGTGAAGGGTGCCAAAACGCTCAGCAAACGCGGTCGGCGCCTCATGGCGGGCGCTATCGTCCTTCCGGTCCTATCCGGTCTGCTTGTCATGGCGCGCGAGCCACTGATGACATTCCCGTCTACTGCACTACGCTACCAGGCGACTTTCGCGAAGCACCCCTTATTCCAATTCTAGGCTACATCACGGTTCTGATTGCAGTCAAAGACTTCGTTGAGGATGGCGTTATGATACAGTCGTATTTATGTACGATGCTATCTCATGGATCTCTTTTTGGCCTTGCTCAATGCAGGCTGCGTGTGCGAACGCTCATAGTACGCATTGTCGGGACTACATGAAGGCGCGTCAGAAGACGAGCCGAGGGGCCGAGTCTGAGAGATGAGACTTACACATCATGAGACCTTTGATATCCTTGACCCGTGCCTGCGCGATGGCTTTGCGCATCAACAGCACGCGAATACTGGCCCATACAAGAAGTAGACAGCCGAAGCCGACCGGAATGAGCCAGTACAACGGAGAGAGGTGGAATGAGCCTCCGAAAACTACATGCAGCGGCGGTGTGTAGATGATGAAGATGCCCAGACAGGCGCCCGCAAGTATGCCCGCAAAGTTGTACGGGTTCCCCACGGCCGCGCGACCGAACGGGAAAGTAAATCTAGCCTTGACAGCGAATACCTGGAAGACCAGTCAGCCAAGTAAGATTTCCGCGTCACCTCCCCGGATACGCACATTGAACGCCTGCATGATGAAGATGGAAAGGTACACTGCTCTCCGCATCAGTACGGGCATGTTGAATAAACATTGCTGCACGTGCCAATGCCTTGCGCCTGCCCCAGAGCTTGCACTTGCTGTGAGCCACTCAAGCTGTCACCGCGGTAGTTGACGAAGTCAGGGCTATCGCTCTTGAAGTAAACTGGAGTAGAGGTTAAGAACACAACGAAGGGTTGATCGCAGCTGCCGTGACATACCATTCCCAGCACTTTGGGCACGATGAAGGTCGCTAGGGGAGAAGCCCTGTTTCCAGAAGACGACGAAGTATGCGACGAGTCTGTCAAGACGCATCAGTTCGCGAAGGGGCATAGTTCGTTTTGGCACTTACGAGCCAACGGTCTCGATCATACCAGCCTCCAGGTAAGCATAACTCAGCAGCCTGTTGTCAACCAGCGTCTCATTGTCCGTCTTCTCGAGCTTGTCTTGCCAGTACGTCTTGGTGAATGGTGCCTTGAGCTTCTCTGCCCAGAGAGAGAAGCGGCTCGGCTGTATGACCTCGTTCGTTTCGGCATCGCGCGCAAGGGTCTTGCTGCGTCGGAGAGCGCGACGCTTAAGACTGGTGATTGAGCGGTCATTCACTACATGGACGCATTCAGCTGAGTCCAAGCCCAGCTACAATGAAGAACACTCACCGGGTTTACGGGGACCCAAACGCATGACGGCCTCAGCCGATTCTGGCTTGTCCCACGCGAAAGAAAGCTGAAAAAGATTGGGGATGAGAGCTGAACACGCCCCAGTGTATGGAAACACTCGTACCGCGACGAACAGTTCAAAGCCAAGATCTACAGGGAAAGTCAGGGCATGCGTGTGCCATACATTCGTTACAAAGCGTACCAATGACGAGAATAAGAATGGCAGACAGTGGGATCGGGATCGGTACCACAACGTCTAGTGAACCATGAGCGCTGCGGCATTTGAAGAGATATATGTGCATACAAAGAAGCTGAGCGATAACCTCCGGACTACTGTGGGAGATGGTGTATTGAATAGACCGCTTGAGGTTGACGAAGATCAGGCGGCCTTCCTGCACACCCTTGACAGTTGAGGCGAAGTTGTCGTCCAGAAGGATCATGTTTGCGGCCTCCTTCGAGACATCAGAACCGGAAATGTTCATGGCAATGCCCAAATCAGCCTTCTTGAGTGCAGGGGAGTCGTTGACACCATCACCAGTCCTAGTATGTCATGAGCAAACCAGCCAGAACTCGCGATGCGAAGATGAAAGACTCACACTCCGACGATATGCCCAAGAGCCTGAGCACGCTTGACGATCTCAAGCTTGTGCTGAGGAGAAGTCCGCGCGAACACGATCTCCTGCTTGCTGAAGACTGCCAGAGTTTGAGCCTATGGAGCGTGCAGCATCAATACCACGTGTACTCACTCAGATCCCATTGCCAGCCCTCGAGGGTGTCGATGTCGTCTCCGTGTATGACCACCGCCTGGACCTCGTCATCGTATATCTGATCAACATGCCGGCCCGTCTTGGCGCTGAGCGTCTCCTTCGTGTCTCCGAGAATGAGATTGATCTTGCGCGCGATGGCCTCAGCGGTCTTTGGGTGGTCTCCAGTAACCATCATGACCTTTTCGGTAGTGTCTTGTCAGAAAGAGGTATCCGAAAGAGACTGGCACTGCCGACCTTGATGCCCGCCAGTCGCAGCGTTCCGATCGCTTCGCGTACGCCGTGCTTCGGCGGGTCCTCGAGCGAGATGAGTCCAGCAAACGTATAGCCCTCGGTCGGGTAGTTGAGATCGTTCTTAGAGAAGCCGTAGTTCCTGGGGTAGCGTTCGCCTGAGAGCAGCTTTTGAGCGCAACCAATGACTCGATGCCCGCGGGAGGCCATGTAGTTGTACGCGGACTCGTACTCTGCACGGAAGGCATCGTTAATCGGCACAACGTCGCCGTTCGGCTTGGCGTAGTGGGAGCACTTGGCGAGGACGCGTTCGGGCGCTCCTTTGATGTATGAGATCAAACTACCGGAGTGATGCGGCTTGTTGACCTGTATCCTCTCAAATAAGATACATGCGCCCGAGTTAAGCGCTCGACGTACGATGACTAGCGCCCACTTGTTAGATGAGTTGAAGGGTACTTCGAAGACCTTGGGATACCGCGCGATGTAGGCGTCGTAGTCGTCAATCTGCCGCCCAGCAAACCTAGAAAGGCCGGTTTCTGTGGCGTCACCGAGGATCTCACGTTGCCCGAAGGGGACGTCGGTCCTGTCAAACTTGATGCGAGAGTTGAGAGCCGCGACGGAAAGTAGGTCATCCATGCCGGGTTCACTACGGGAGAAAACTGCTGTGTCATCCTCGTCGTTGTTCGACTGCGCAGTACCCCATCAGTCCATGTGAGCGTGAGAAGATACGTGTGTAGGAGCTGACCTGAAAGGCGGAGTACATCTTGGTTCCATTCCACAGATTGGTCACGGTCATCATGTTCCTGTGAATGACTCAGTTCACAGAAAGCAGAAGGTCCACCAGCAGTACCGACCTGGTGAGAGTCCCGGTTTTATCCGTTGCAAGCAAGGTCAAAGATCCTGGGGTCGCGTTTCAACACGCCTTGCGAAGCGTGAACAAAACACTCACCAAGCGTTTCGACACCCTGCAGGTCCTTGACAAGGACATTCTGAGCAGCCATGCGCTTCGCCGCGATGGAGAGCCTGCGCTACATCAGACAAGAACGGAAAGCCCAGCTTCACCACGTACAGCAAAGTGACAACCGACGGCAGCCCCTCCGGCACGAAGGCGACCAGAACTGACACCGCAAACGTTACTGTAAGCGAGGCCTGTCCCTTGTACGCCGTAGTTATGCCCACAACAAAGAATACGACTGCAAAGAAGCCAGCGACTGTCGCTACAAGGGAGACGAAGTGCGCGATTTCCGTGCCAAGCGGGCTCTTGTTGCCCGACTCGCTACCAGTGAGCTTTGCGATCTGCCCGATGAGGGTGTGATCGCCAGTGCGGATGACGACTGTAGGTGAGGAGTCAGCGTCCGGTACTGTCTTGGGAGGTATATGAGCGCGCTCACCTCCATAAGCCTCGCCGTTGACGATAAGGGTGGAGTTGAAAGCGACGTTCTCCGCCTCAACAGCACGACATGACATGCCGTTAGGCTTCGCCATCCGCTCTTGCGGCTCCGATTCGCCAGTCAAACTACTGTTGTCCACCTTGAGGTCAGTCGCCGAAATGATCACACAGTCCGCGGGAGTCTTGTCCCCAACACGCTATTCCGGGCGTCAGCGATGAAGATTGCCTCAAGTTGAAGGCTTTGAACGCACTAGTAGAACCACATCGCCTTTAACAAGATTGGCTGCTGGGACCGATGTGAGGGTACCATCACGAACCACTCTCGCAGACGGTGGTATGAGCGCAAGGAAACTCTGCAAGACAGCGTGAGGGGGATTGACAGCACATGACGTCGCCACTTCATACCTGGAGGATGGCCGCAGACTTCTGCAGCTGGTAGAACTCGATGAAGGCGTTCAGAAACGCAACCGCGATGAGGATACCCCCAAGATACGTGTTGGCGAAGTTGTCCTGATGGAGGCTCAGAAGAAAGGTTCATAGATAGGAAGTCAGGCGAGTATTTACGGACCTTGAAGTCGACGCCCAGGAGAATATACTCCAGACAACCAGCGATGATCAGAATGATGTTGAACAGATTCAGTAAGCAGTCCAAATACTGCATAATCAAGGTCAGACTAGCTTGATCGTAGGATACATTCGATGAAACGTGCCTTTCTCAGCGCGGACTTCTTCTTGGGCGGTGTGAGCATGTTGGGCCCGTCAGCCAGAAGGCGAGCGGCCGCATCGTCTGCAGTCAGACCATATGAGGTGGAGGGGTTCTTTGGCTCGAACGAGGTCTTGAGGGTCTCTGCAAGCTCTACTAGGGAGAGCTGATGCTCCCGGATATCGACGTTTGAATCGTCGCCTTCATCGCTCTTCCCCTTCTTCTCCTGGTCAAGGTGCTCGTAACCAGCCGCGGCAAGTTGTATCTCCTCCTGCGTCATGTGCTGGCGCAGCTCGACACCGCGGGGCTGCTTGTCGTCATGCTCATGCGAAGGGTCGGCGTCGGGAAAATTGACAGTGCGGATGGGAAGCGTGGCTAAATCGGGAGAGTTGGCCGTACTCGCACCCTCTCCGATACTGGCGTCGGTGCTCTTCTCGTGGTCGTGTGCCGCGGCGTCCATGACTTCAACAGGGAGAAGGGAAGAGAAGGGGTCGCCGGAGAGACAAAAGCAAGCAAGGGATAGTCTTATACTTAGAGAGGGATCGCCAGCCGCCTCTCATCCCGCTCCGATACGCTCATCGCGGCGACAATCCGGCAAGAATTAGGACGAAGCCGTAAAAGAACGGTAGATGGAATGTCGCTCCGCGACGTGCGTAGCTTGATTGGGCAACGGCCCACTGGCTCGAATGGCGCTACAAAGGGCACCAAACAGCGTATATCCCTCAATGCACGTGAACCGGTTCGTGCGGTCGCATGGATCTTCCTGTAGCGTTACCACCATGATGACCCTGAGGAGATCCATACTGATACGCTCGACAGGCTCCAAGGAGAGCGGCACTTCGAAGAGGCTAGGACATCGGAAGTTACAGACACGGACGGCGGGCTCTACAGACCTCCCGGACATTGCGACGTAGTACTCTCACGTACGGCCGGGTTCTACGCATGAGCTATAGATATCGAAAGAAATTAAGAGAGCATTCAGAACCGCTGAATAGATAAAAACGAACCGTTCTAGTATGAATATTGGCTGATATGTCGTCTGCTTCCCGGAAGGGGACGCACGTCACCCATTGCTTTCTCGATGATGCACCGCGCGGGTGCACGGAGTAGCTCATGGGCTACTCTAAGCACAATGACAACAGTAGTCAGTCAACGGTATGATATCGGACGGTGGAAACGCTCACTGTGAAGAGCCATAGCATACCGCTCCCTCCAGTCAGTGGGCCTCGTGCCGTCAGAACGCACTGGGAGATCATCTCTCTAAAGGGGATAGTGCGCTTGGTTCGGTAGAAGGAGTCCAAACGGACACAGTGCGGATTCGAACCAAGCTGACCCCGCGGCGTGAGCGTCTTAGTTGCCATACACGGGAAGGAACCGGTGAACAGGTGTATCTTGGGCATCGTATCTTCGGGCCGTTGCGCTGCGGTAACGGGAGGCTTCACGACCTTCCTTCTGTAGCAGACTGAGGTTGAACGCTTGCGTTGATTGAAGACGACTCTCCTCGACGCCACATAGGCGTCAATAGTCGGAAGATAGACGAGGCATCCAGAATAGATTCAGACCCCCTAGTACCCGACCCGGCAACCCCACTTGGACGTGCTGATACGGACATTACGGAGATGAACTTGTGCCGCTGTGAGCGCCAGGTATATATCGCATCCAACACGAAATCACCCATCCGGAAAGGAAAAGGGTTGCTCGTCGTGGCCGTTGTTGACGGAAATAGCGGGGAAGGGAAGCCGTCGCCCATGACGACACCTGAACAAGTTCGGTTGCCGCCGCGGCCGGCGGTCAGATGCGCGCGCTTAGACAAGCGTGTACTCCCCGCTTCTTGCCCTCTTCCCCCAGCGTCTCAATCTATACTTTGTCACCATTTTCCGCCAGCATATTGCATGCTGGTCCTCGGGAAATTCAAACGAGATATTTGACTTCTCTTGTCGTTCATTTGACTAAATAACGCTGCTGTCGCACCGCCATGCCGGCCTTGATTCACGATGGACGGGTGAGCCACTAACACCGCTCTTGACGACCTTTCATCGTCGACCTAATATCTCATTTCTACAGGGAACGATTGAGGCCAAGGACTATACGCCAGAAGTTGGAGGTTCTGAGGGAGGTTCGTCTGATTTCCGTTCCCGATTGGGAAGACAATGGAATAATCCGATGCCTTCATAGCCTTTATCGCAATCATCGTTGTACTGGGTCTTGTCTTTATCGGCGCCTGCATCGGGATATTTGTACTTCTGAGGTACTGGGATCCCTCAGAGAAAGAACGTGCGGTCCGGAAACGCTACTCTATTCGCCGACGCGGTGCCCCACACCCACTTCCCATCGGCCTGCGCGAGACAGGCGAGGGCAGCGCCGGTGCGCCTGCCAGTGGCACCCTCACGGAGAAGCTCGGAAATATGTTCCGCGGACGCCGTCAAGGCTCCGGGTGGCAGCCGGCGAATGAGGACGACGACTGGGAGGTTGAAGACGAGCAAATGCTTGATTACCATCCCGAACGTGCAAGCGTGCATTCTGCGCCTACGCCCAAGCGAAGTACCGTCATTGAACCCGAACTGGTCTTCAGCGACGCAAGTCATGCGTCACCCATGAATGTTGGTACGCCCGCAGCTGTGGAGATGGGCTACGCCAATCCCTTCGAGACGTCTATCTCGCACTCGCCACGCCCGCAATTCCCCGAGCCATCGATCACGCCACCTCCGCAGAGTGCCGGGAACGGCCACGGTGCGGAGTATATCCATGGCACGAGCACCCGCTTCAGAGAGGATCTATGAAGGACATGATTAAGCCTTACTGGGACACGACCTGTCACGACTTCAATATCTGAACACTTCGCTGTATCACGCCTGACTTTTGCCCATGTGCTTCGCCTGTACTTACCCCACGATTCTGTTTGTTTGTTCGCCTATTTGTTTGTTGCTCTGTACCCGTATCCTTATTCTTCTCACGTACGAAAGACTCGGACCGTCGCTAATCCACATTATGAGGATGTTGAATACGAACATCAAGTTTAGGAAGATACAAGATCTATACGGAGTCGTCAAGACTCATCCATGCCTTCTTCCTCGGGTCCGTCTTCCTCCTCTTCCGCCGCACCCATGGGTGATCTTTCCTTCGCGTTGGAGTCATCATCACTTGAGTCCTCGGCAACCTCTTCGGGAGTTTTATGCGCCCGTCCTCGCCCTCGCCCCCTACCCCTACCACGCCCTCTTCCTCGTCCCCTTGCTCGCCTCGCCGGAGTGGGCTCGGGATCAGAGCTATCGCTTGTGGACTCTTCGCTCTCGTCAACCTCGCCCTCTTTCGCAGCCTTACCCGCCGCAGCCGCCCCACGACCTCGTCCGCGCCCACGACCTCGTCCACGCGCCCGTCTCCCACCACGTCCTCTCCCACGAGTGCTAGCCACCGGCGCCTCCTTAGAAGGCGGCTTACTCTCGACGGGACCGTCAATAGACACGTTATCGTCCTGGTCCACATCCATCTCGGCATCGAAGAACTCGTTATTTGCCATTGTGCGGTCCTCACTCCGGGAATCGCCCGTACGGGCCGTACCGTGTTCCTCCTCCTCGCGCTCAAGTGGAGTCTTCGTCTCCTCCGCCAGCCACTCCTCAAGCCCAGGGGGCAATTCCTGCATACCAACGCTAGGGGCATGCGATAGGTACCTCAGCTTCTCACGGATGGATATCATGATACGCTGTAAACTCCCCGCCGTGTTCGAGTTGTCGACCGTCCCGATGAGCTTTGGGTGAAGCTTGTAGTCCGATTCGGCGAATTGTGGGTCATAGATCGTCATAGGCAACTCGTTGGGCACCTTTGTGCCCGTCAAGACGCTCGTCTCGTACGTCCAGCAACGCGCGACATTCTTCACGGTGTAGCCTCCACCGCCAAGCACCAGTAATGGCACGTTGAAAGCTCGAACATGGTTGACACATTCACCGTGTGCCGCTATACTGAGGTTGAATGCGCCGAGACGGTCGAGGCCGAGTGAGTCTGCGCCGCATTGCAGTACGATGGCAGAAGGCTTGAAGTGGTCGACGGCGTCGTTGATGACTTGTTTGAACAGCACGATGTACATATCATCATCGATGCCATCTTTCAACGGCACGTTCAACGCAAAGTGTTTGCCCATGCCGGCGCCGTTGTCATCAAGCTTGCCGGTGCCGGGGAAGAAGTCACCGGTGTACTTATGGAAGGAGACCGTCATGACACGGTTGGTGTGGTAGAACGCGAACTCGACACCGTCGCCGTGGTGAATGTCGATGTCGATGTACATGACGCGCGGGTGGTACCTTCGCCCATCAACACTTCAAGACCATATGAGAGACGTCAAATCGAACTTACTTAAGCATCTCGAGAATAGCTATGACGATGTCGTTCACGAAGCAGAAGCCACTAGCTTCGCCGCGTTTCGCATGATGCAAACCGCCCGACCAGTTGATGGCAATATCGGTTGTTCCTGCGCAGAGCTTCCTTGCGCCGGCCAACGAGCCACCGGCGTACATCCGTGAGAAGTCATACATATCGGCGAAAATAGGGTTGTCTTCGACACAGTTGAATTGATCGATCATCGCCTTCATCTGGTCTGCATTGTTGGGAGTGACTCTGAGTGAGGGCTGTCAGTAGAAAGCTTCGGTGAGCGGGGAAAAGGTAGTACTTGGACAAAAAGTCGATGTAAGCAGGGTCATGGTACGTCTCAAGTTCCTCTCGCGTGGCTGGTCGAGGGTTATACCAATTGTGTATCTGCTTATCCAGACCATAGCCAATGACAAGAGAGTTTGTCAAAGTCATCCTGTGTGGTTTCATAGGATGCCTTTCCTGTCGAAGACGTTAATTGCTCTAGTTTATCTCATAATAGGTAGGAAGACACTTACACCGAAATGGTGCTCTCCAACACCTTTCGGCGCATAGTAGGATACAATAGGCTTTGAGTGAGGCTGAAAGGGGATGTGAGAGGTGCCACAAACCTGTCTACGTAAAGTTGCCTACGTTTATACGCTCCGTAATGGGTTCAGCTACACCAAACTTTGGCCCTCTATCAGCGAAGAACTTTGAGTTCGAGAAGGTGTAGGTCTCGAATTTCCGTGTCATCGATGACAGGGACTTAATTGGTATAAGTATTGCTACATAGGATCGCTCTGCAAGCTTTCACCCACAAATTGACAGGTGGACTACCGTATTCGGATGTTGAACAGTAATGCCTCGTTACGACGGATATCAGCGGATGTTGGTGAGCTGGCGACAGCGGACTGGTGCTAGTCAGTGCCTTCAGCTCTTCTGTTTCGTCCTGTAGATGGGGGGAATCGAGACAGGTCGTGCTGCAGTGGCTACAGTGGCGGGTGCTGGGTGTAGCAAGTTACAACTGAAGAAACAAAGCTCGCGATCACCGCGGCTGCTCCCGTAATGTGGTTCTCACGCTTCTTTGGCTTCAACGAACCAACTTGCTTTGTCCCCTTTCATGCATCCGTCATTGTCGTGCACCCGAATAACGGCGCTGCTATTAGTGGCTGCCCTATCAACTGCTGTATCTGCCTCTTCAGGAGATCGCGCGCCCGACTTCTCCCGATGTGTCACCAAATGCCTTGACCACTCCTGCGCCACCTATGACCCTCCTCTGTCCCTGCGTCTCACGCACTGGTCATGCGCGGACGACTGCAGATATAGGTGCATGCACACCATCACAGACCATGCTGTGGAAGGCGGTCTGCCGATACAGCAATATTATGGGAAATGGCCCTTCTGGCGATACGCCGGGATGCAAGAGCCCGCATCGGTCATATTCTCACTCGCCAACTTACTGCTACACATATGGGGACTGGGAGAAATCAGGAAGGAGATTTCGGACGAACATCCGATGAAGCGATACTACGTGCGCTGGGCGTACATCAGCTGCAACGCCTGGATTTGGTCCGCCATCTTCCATACGCGAGGTCTGTCGCACGTTTAGCTCGGTCATGGCAACCCAGAGCTAACTATTAAATTTTAGACACGCCATTTACCGAGAAACTGGACTATTTCTCAGCTGGCCTGACAATCCTGTACTCGCTGTACTTCACCGTCATACGTCTCTTCCATCTGTACACCACGCTCTCTCATCCTGCATCGCGCACGTTCTATCTTTGGTCCGGCCTCTGTTTAGGCGCCTACATATCGCATATCTTATATCTGTCCCTATCCGCTCGCTTTGACTATGGCTATAATATCGCCGCCAACGTCGGCCTTGGGCTCGCACACAACGCGCTATGGCTGGCGTTCGCCATGCCCTCAAGCCTATCGCCTCTGCGACGCTTCTTGGGGCGGCCACGTAGCTACAGGCCGTGGTATGCCACACGTGCGGCTCAGGCTGTCGTGCTCACCACCCTCGCCACGATGCTTGAACTCTTCGACTTCCCACCATGGTGGCGAGTAATCGACGCGCACTCGCTCTGGCACCTGGCCACCGCCCCGCTGGCTGTGCTCTGGTACGACTTCTTGATCAACGATGCAGTAGATGCCGGTTGGAAGGAAGTAAAGGCGTAGCGTGCCGTATGTCGGGACTCGGGAGAACCCAACATGTCGTCTGATACGCGGACAGGCCGGGGTCCGCAGGGCCGCTTTCTATCTCCGCATATGGCTGTATTAGTGCTCTATACAAACCGAAACCTGTGTTCTCGTGCTGTACCTGTCTCAAACAGTCGTGTGCCCCGCAAATAGAACAGTCATCTCGTTGACGACCGCGTGTGTGGCGCGTCAATGGGCGGTGATTCAGATTGCCGCCGCATCTAGGCGCCCTTCCCTCGCTCTCCCGAACTTCCCTCGCACAAAGCGCCCATTCAACCCAGCCTTTGCGCGGCTTAGGATTCCCGTTCGGGGGAAGAGGGGAGACGAGGCGAGCTAGCTTTTTCCAACCCAGATGCACGTGCTGGCCTCTCGCAGCTAGCGTGGAGATCTCAGAAACGTGCGCCGGTGGATGTGCATCCGCACGGAGGCGCAAGCCTGCTAAATACCGCTCCTCTTGGACGTGATGAACCCTTTTTACCCCGCCTTCCTCAGCTTTTCTACGGAACGGCATATATAACTCCCTCGCTCCGATCAACATACCCCGTTTCCTCCTTCACGCCCGTCAACAACCAGTGAGCTTCGCATACGATCCCTTGCGTTTCCATCGAACTGACATCTTCTGAAGTCTCGACTCAGACATCATGACTCGCTACGACCCGCAGTCCTCCGCTGAACTCGGCGCACACGACCACGAAGCTATCTGCCCTACACACACACTATCGCACACACGGACATGGTTCAAGTCTCGCTGCAAGACGTCCGCAGAACATGAGCCCACCACGATGCTCAGTTGGGGCTACCTCGATCCAACAAGCTCACATGTGCGTATAAGCTCAACTCGCCTGTCAATCTAACGTTATGGCGTTTGCTGACGTCGTCGATGAACAGGACAGGCTCGTCTGCTCTTGCGGCGACGCGAGGAGACCTTTCGCCATCCAGCTCACATATCGAGGTTTCCATAAGCACGAACTACGACGCGAGATCTTCTACCTTTTCCTACTCGTTTTATTCGCCGGAATAGCGATCGGCGTACTCGGTGTACATGGGTCAAGGGCGTTGCTGAACCTCTTGCTACCACCAGAACCGATACCAAGAACGGAGGCGGATGGCTATTGACGTGCTTATTTTGTCGTCCGTCGCGACGTGCACTGGTTGTGGATCTCGATCGCCGCTGGTGCCATACTTGGAACCACTTGCGGCATACTTTCGCCGACTTCTTTGTTCCGCTGCCTTTCCTGTGTATATCTGTATGTAATGCTGTAAGATCGATCTTGTCGTGCTTTGAGTATGCGATGGCCTCACTGATTGGGGTCCGCCTTAACTGCACCTCAGCTATCCGTTCCGACCAGCGGAGCTTGTCGAGGCGGGGACGTAGTCCGCCGTGTCTGCCGCACAGGTCATGCTTCAAGTTGTGGAAACAACCAGTAATCTGATGATATTCGCTTTGACTTCGGTTCCTTTCTATGTGCACTGGCCTCTAGCCAAACAGGTCACGTTTCACCGCAACTCGTACAGAGTATGCCCGAGTATGCAAGGCGGTGTAACCTGCACCTACACACTCCCTTCGCGGGTGCATGTTAAGCTCGCGCATCCGTCGCTTATGCGGCTCGTGGCTCAGATGCAGCTTATGGTTCACATGCTACGATCCGGCGCCCAATATAGCACCACCCTAGATGGATTGTGGCGATGACAGGGATGTGCGGGAACTATTTTCGGTCAGCAGTTTGAAGTACCCGACGACGTAAGGATATTGCTCTCTCGCCGCTCACGGCGGATTTGCGCATACGCTGGACTCGGACACATCAGGGAAACGCCCCCCTACTAAGGGCCACTCAGGGAGGGCAGATTAGCAGG